TAACATGAACAAGAGATAAAGAAAATTTGCTATATAAACATATTTTGATCTTTTTTCCTCAAATTTTAAAATATATAAAATTGATTGAAGTTATAAGATAGTGGTTTGTTATTTTCAAAACAAAATTCATTTATATAAAAATTATGCTTTCATTTTGAAGATCAATCCTGGTGATTAGAAATATATGTAGCAAAAAAGTATGAAAAATAGTAATATAAATGTATGGTGGTAAAATAAGTTACTTCATTATGAATGAGGAAGTAATTTATTAAATTATAGATTAATATGAATTGATATAATTGTAAAATATAGTCAATAAATACTATATTTCATTTTCTACATGTTTTAACTTTATAATACAAAACTATGAAAAAAGTATATATTGTTTTACTTCTAGTCCATACAGACAGGGTTGTAAGCAAAATAATCAATAATCTCATGCATGGAAAATTCGTTTATCTTCATGTATAGTTAGATAATAGGTATAATAGTATGGTCTGCTGAAATATTACACTTTACTTTTATAACTTAATTAACATTATTATGCTTCCTTTTTATTGAGGTTTTTCTTTAATTATGGAATTATTCAAAGCTTTAAGTCTATTTAATCGAGGAAAATATGAAGAATGTGCAACAATATGTACAAATTTATTAAGAAAAGATCCTCTTGATCAGGTATAAATATGTTGTCTATTGATTTATAGTAACAGTCTGTACATTTTTGTAAAAGTATAATGTCCTTTATTGCAGGCTGTATGGGTGCTAAAAATGCGTGCTTTAACATTACAAGTATACGTAGATGATATAGAAGGAGAAGAAGAAGGGATAGCTGAAAGTCTATTAGACAATTATACAATATCTGCTATGCCTAGACCAGGAACATCTTTAAAAAATCCTGGTACTTCTTACACTGGTCAATCTCTTCGACCCAAAACACAATCAGGTTCACTTATTAACATTTAAAACAATTTAAAACAATCAAAAGAAAATAAATACATAATTGTAATATAAAACCATGATAACACTTCAAAGGTAGACCACTCACAGGTGTTGTACGACCAGCTACTCAATCTGCTATGTCACAATCAATTGAACAAACTCTAAGAACACCCAGAACTGCTATGACAGCTAGACCAATTACTGCAAGTTCTAGCCGTAATGTTAGGTATACACATACTTTTACATTACCAAATAATAGAATTTCAATTCAAATTTTCAATGGACTATAATACAGATAGATTATGTAGATTAGGTACAGCATCCATGTTAACAGAACCTGGAGGACCTTTTATACAACTATCACGATTGAATATTTCTAAATATGCTAGTCAATCAAGTATTGCTAAACCACTATTTGAGTACATATATTATCATGAGCATGATGTAAGATATGTGAGTATATATACATGCTTTTATTCAACGTTTGTAATTAATAAGAAATATTAATGCTGTGTATTTTGTAAACTATTATAACACTACACATAGGCATTGGATTTGGCTGTTCAAGCCACACAGGTTTGTCAGTATAAAGATTGGTGGTGGAAAGTACAACTTGGAAAATGTTATTATACTTTAGGATTGGTAAGAGATGCTGAGCAACAATTTAAATCAGCACTGAAAGATTGTAAAACTATAGAAGTCGTCTTGAGACTGGTTAGAGTTTATATTAGAATTGATCAACCATTGGCAGCTTTGGATGCATGTAAGAAAGGTCTTGAATATTTTCCCAATGATGTAAGTATCCTTACTGAAATGGGACGTATATTCAATGGCCTAAATAATACGAGCATGTCGTTGAAATATTATAAAATCATTGCTCAAGAGGATGCTTCTCATACAGAAGCAATAGCTAGTATTGGAATGCATCATTTTTATAATGATCAACCAGAATTGGCATTGCGGTATTATAGGTAAAGACAAACACAGACATAGGTACTTAAAAATAATTGAAAATATAACTTTACCTTATTTATTCGAATAGACGATTATTACAAATGGGTGTATACAACACTGAATTATTTAACAATCTTGGACTATGCTGTTTTTACGCGCAACAATTTGATCACGTTATATCTTGTTTTGAAAGAGCAATCAGTCTTTCCACAGATGAAAATATAGCAGATGTGTGGTATAACATTTCTCACATTGCTCTTGTACGTATTTTTTGACATTTAATTTTATTGATCATAATTAAACCTATGTCTTTGATAAAATTTTTATAAAAAGAAGTTTGTAAACTGTTAATTGACCTATACATAAAATTTATTACTAATTATTAACGAATATTTTAAAATATTTTTTATTTCAGACTGTAGGCGATATGACAATGGCGGAAGAATGTTTGAAACTAGCTATTGTTAGTGATAATAAGCATGCCTTAGCATACAATAATCTCGGAGTCATACAAATACGAAATGGAAATGTAACAGCGGCAAGAACATATTTTCATGCTGCTGCTAATATTGCTAATTTTATTTATGAACCTCATTTTAACAGTGCTTATTTAGCTTATGAGGTAACATATAATAATGTTATATTCTAGTTTTATGAAACATTATGTTCCCATTATTTCAAAACTTTCGTAGGTTGGAGATCTTCAAACAAGTTACATAGCTGTTCAAAAATCTTTGAGTGCACATCCTAATCACTGTGATAGCAAAACACTTTTGAACAAATTAGAAAGGTACTTCTCGCACATGTAATTGCACCTCGATAAAAAAAGAAGAAAGAATTTATCCACATTGTGTAAAATGTATTATTTTATTGGTGTTTGATTTCAATTTTACAACTATTATTATGTACATAATATATATGTGCAAAAAGTACAAATTATATGACCCGATACTGATTTTTTCCTTAATACCTTTAAATGACTGACAAATAAGTGAATATTTTAACAGGAATGTTGAGATAAAAACGGTTGTTAATGACCGTAGTCTTTTAAACTGTACATTATACACATTAAATGATAATAATTTAAAAATGAACGCTGTAGAAATTGTTTTCTGCATCTCACCATCTAGTTTTCTTTATCACGTTTATATATAAATATATAACAATCTGATAATAATTTACTTAAATATTACATCTTATTTTATACCTATATTAATATGCTTTGTATGTAGGTAATCATAATTGACATACACACTTATGATTTTCTAAAATGCATAATAATAAATAACATATGCATCTACAGTAATAAGTTTTATCTACTAATTTTAATATGAAACTTACTTAATTGAACTTTAAGAATTTCGAATGTGTCAGCAATATGCTTTACTCAATTTTCTATTCTTCCTTTACTTTGTGCAGAAATATGGAACAATGTACAGCCTTATTATTGTAATTAATTTATATTTTATTTTATGAAATA